AGCGGGACCAGCCTGCGGCAGCCGTGTGCCCGTCCTGCCCGCGGGAGCAGGTCTGCGGTCCGGTGGCGGCGGGCGTGGAGCTGCTCGGGGATGAGTCACAGCTCTGCTCTGACATCGCCGCTGGCGCGAGTTTAGCGCCCGCTATGAAGCGAACGAAGAGCAAAGGGCCACTTTTCACCCTGTGGGTTATGCTAGTGAGTGTCAGTTGTGAAATCACTGAAGCTTTTTCCTTAAGGATTCCCTTAGAAGTATATTCAATTTTAATGCTTCTGGAGCCTTTTCAAGTTGTGTTTTTGTCTAGAATATGAATGAGTAAAATATTAACTTACAGTTTGAAGCAAGCACTTCATATCTAGTCCTCTTCGGGTTTCTAGGCAAAAAGTTTACTTTTGGTAGCTGCAGCGTTTCTTGAAATACAACCCAGGAGAAGACTATTAATTCTAAGAAAGTGTATGTGCTGTTTCACCCACCCAAATCCGTAGTCTTCTTTTTAAGCTGTGCTCACAATTTATATCCTGCTTGGACCAAATGAATTTCAATAGCACCCAACACTGGACAGTGCTGAAATAAATTCAGCAGTAGCAATTGGCTATCAAAACAAGAATTTGATGTGCAGCATCCTGAAGCAGCTGGGGAGAGAAACAGCACAAGTTCGCATCACGGGGCCTGTATGTCTATTAAGATAGAAAAAGCACTACTTAAAACTTTAAGCTAGAGGTGTGGGTTTGCCACAGGCACTGCGTATGGGGAAATATGTGATTGGGTTTCCCTTGCAGCGTGCTAGGAGGGAAATTGCTGCTTGGAGAGCTAGAGAGGCAACTGAGTTGAGGGCTTTTCATGTCAACTCCTCTTTGGATCATTTCTGATAAATTAAGAGAATTCTACTGAAATAGTTCAGAGGAACGAATGAGATGCCTGAGCTATGGTACGCTTCTGTAGGATACGGGCTCAAAGCCTGAATTTTCCATAGGGGTTTGCTTCTATGATATTACACTTCGGGTTTCCTGGTGCTTTTCTCCATGTCACATTCTTTATTCTTTTCAATACAACAAGTCTTTTTAATCCATCAAAACGTCATGCTGTCTGAAATATGAAGACATGTTGCAATTACAAGGCTGTTTAGAAACAGAAGGTGAACTCAGTAGTTTATTGCACTCTTATTCCTTTGAGACCCGTGTTTTTGTTTGTGTGTATTTACATGACTTTTTCTGAGCAGAACTCTTCCCTGTGAAAGTTGCCTAATAAAGTTTTTATGCCTGTCTGCTTTGAGAAAAGAACTTCAGCCTTTATGATTTCAGTGGGGAAAAAAAATAATTAATGAAAATCCAGATTTTTAACCCCAGTTGGGTCATGTCAGATTGTCTGGAAACTAATTGATGGTGGTGGTGATCTTATATGAAGTAGAGGGTTTCTTTCTTTCCACTGCTTTCTCCCTCTAACAGCACTCAACTCCTGCGCTTCTAACTTTCAAGGAATCAGCTTGTTTTGTTTTATTTTTATGTATAAATTCCTTAACTCCAAATAATTCCTCTGGCTGGCACTGCAAGTTGCATGGGTTTTATCATCTGTTTATTTCTCCGCCTGTGTTATCACACGGGGTTGCAGTTACTCAGAATAAGGTGAAGTGATCACGTTGAGATCATAATTAATTAAACATAAGCGCCGATACCTTATTATTTCAAGTCCTGCAATCGGCAGACTGAGAACGCCGCTGGACCCGTGCGCCGGTGGAGAGGGGAGGAAGTGGGAGGGGAGGTTTTCTTGCGGGGCAGGATGATATTGGGTCGGAGCAAGCTGCACGCACGCCTGCCAAAACCCTTGGATCAGACTAAAGGAACACAGATGGCTGAGGCTGATAAAGGTGTCTCTTATTGTTGTGGGGTTTGTGTTTTGTTTTGTTTTTTTTTTTTCTGCTCGGTACTGTTTTGAGTTTTTGTGTTAGAGAGGGGTAAGAGGGGAGGAAGACGACTGCATGAATATGTTTATTTTAATACGTTTGTACAGTGTAGGAAAGAAGTTGTATCAATTCAATACTCGTGCATGTCCGTGCTCAGTAGGATGCCAAAGGCTGGAGCTAAGACCTCCTTTTAGGTTTCTGTAACAAATGAACAATAATGCGTCCTTGGGGATTTATGTCATGCCGTCTGACCTTCGCTTCTTATCTGCAAATAGAAAAATCCCACTGCAATGCTGAAAGTAGCTCCTAAAAATTGGACTGAGAAGCCTTAAAAGCACGTGGCTGCTGCCGCCCGTAACCAGCCCCAACGCTAGCTCGCCTCTTGCATGGCCCCTTCGTGTCTCCTCGTCTCGTTACCCTGATTATTGGTTTGTTACCATGCTTTATGTGATCTGTGTGTATGTCTAAACATGTATAGACGTGTATATACGCACATAAGTATAAATAATATCTTCTTGTCTGCGGAGGTAGCGCTGAAGTCCGTCTGCATTTTTCTGGCAGAGGAGGAAGCCAAGCCACCGCAGGACAGGGATGTGTAAGGGAAGAGCAAGTCCCACAGACTCTGAACCTGAGCAAAGTCCAGTTCTTAGCGTTTGTTATTTATTGTTGTAGAAATTAACTGGTCGTCCCTATCGAAGAATGGTATGTCTGAACTTTAAAGTTGCTTACAGAAATAAATCATTGTCACCAGACGTAGTGGTTGCTCCAAGTCTGTTGGATCTGTTACACCCATGAGCAGCACCATCCATCACGGCAGGGCCGAGGAGAAGGGAGGAGAAGCGAGGCCTATTTTTTTCTTTTCTCTTCTTTTCTTTTTTTTTTTTTGTCTGAAACAGGCAATTTCATTAGCAGGCTTCAGAAAGATTCTAGTATTGTAAAAGATGGTGGAAATGTTCTCCTGCTTGTGACAGCTGGAAATCCGCTGGATGCTCTTGCTGGTGAGCATGAAAGATGGTACTTGAGACTTCGTGCTAGGGCAAATAAATTTCATTTTGAAGATCTCTTTCAATTTGCAGTCATTAAGTTGAGATATTGCAGTTGTGTTCTTCATAGAAAATGATATATTCAAAACCTATTTGCAAAGCCATACTCCTAATGGTATACTGTGAATAACTAAGACCAAACTTCATCCAAACCAGTGCTATTTTGGTCTATTGTCTTCTGAATGCTCTGTCTCTCCTTCCTTGATCACACCCTATGTATATGTTTTTAAAATAGACATTGAAATGCTTTTTTTTTTTTTTGGGGGGGGGGGAGGAGGGAGGAGGACAGCAGTAAAGTTGCTCAAAACTGATGGAGGGAAGACAGTATTTCATTCTGAGATTGTGTTATAAAAATGAATGTGATTTTTTTAATGCCTTCAGGCATGTGCAACCAGTCTCCTCTCTAAATACAGCATAATAATATGAATATTAATTGTAGCTACTAGTATACAAACAGAAAAATAAACACAGCCCAGCTACATTCCCCCTGGGAAGAAAAAAAAAAAGCCCTTTATATGAGCAGGAAAATTCTACTTTTTTTCTGTGAAAATGTATCATTGTTATTACAGCTTTGGCTCTATAAAGGACGTATGAGCATGAGAATCTGGAGTTTATAAAAGAAATTATTACTAACAGTGGACTGGCTTTTCTTTGAGTGATGCTAATTTTCCATCACTGTAACTATATTTTATTTAATTAAATTACTCCTCATTTACATTGGTATAACCAAGCAGAAAATGAGGCCCCGGGTAAACGAGAAAGACCTTCTATTTGTGTAAATTAAAATCTATATTGAAAGTGACACAGGGTAAAGACTAAATATCTAACAAAAACCTTGCCTTTGCCAAGGAAATAAGGAAATCAAGACGTTCTGCTGTCTATAATTAGGCACTTTACATGGATGTAGCTCAGTTGAAAGGAATATAAGACAATGGTAGTAGCACAGTACTCCAATGAAAAGAACTAGTGATAAATTACAGTGCAAAGTGAGCTACAGGACAACTTAATGGAGAACAGCGTTGTAGGGGCCTCCGCCGAGAAGTCCATTAAACTCTAGAAATTCCTTTGTAATCATATGCATTGCGCGTTAATATCATTTAAAAACTAGCTTTATCTAGTATTAATTAACAGTGCTTTCTGTTGTGGCGTAGTTCTAAAAAGACAAAAACTAGCTGCCTCCCCCCAAGTCAGGGGGTAGGGACTTGGTGGTTACGTAGGCTGGTAAAAAGAATGGAGCAGCTGTCTTAGGTAGTTGGGTGTGGGCATGTAAACAGCCTAAATATTGTATGCGTGCCACGTCTATTCCAGCTACTACTAGCTGCTCTCACTTAGGAAAAGCGAAGAACAGGAAAAGGAAAAGAAAAGAAAGCAGCACTAAGAAGGGTTGTGTTGATAGGCCCCACCTACATAATCTTACTGGTTTTATCTTAATGAAAATATTATTTAAAGTAATATTTCTTGGGAATAAGAACTTTTTTTTTTATGGAGAGAAGATGTAGGGTTAGAAAATGTAGCTGTTGAGAAACTTGAGTGTGTGCACACTCATAAAGACCCAACTACAAAATCCTGTTGTCTTCACTCCTCTGGCTAGTTAGTTGGACACCAGAAGGACCACCACTGCAAAGCTAGCAGAATTTGACCTTCTGATAGCACCCACACTTCTTGTAGGCCATTTCTCAATTTACAGGAAAGTCAAATATTTCTGATGTAAAATAAAACGGGCTGCTCACTAAAATGGGAAATCCTTGAGAAATGTTTACATGTGCGCTGTGGGGAAGGACTTCACCAAAGGTGGATTGACTGGAGCTGTTTTCCTCTCTTACTGCTGTCTGGACCAGCAGTCCTTTCAGTTGAAGTGATGGTGAGTTTTGTAGTCACTTGCAAGCTCTCATCCCCTGCAACTTTTCTCTCTCAGTATTTGCTTAATGCGGGGACTATAGCGTTATGATTGAAGTATTTCTTCATTTGGCTCTCCAGATGCATCTAGCGCTTATGGTGGAATTCAGAGCATGTAACGTTAGCTCTGTAAGACTAATAAGCCACTTGTTGAGGCTTCTGATATCTCCTCCTGAATGGACAATAGATCCCCCAGAGACTGTCCTTCAGTGGCAATCAAGAAGGGGAACCTGCCCATCTATCGTGGGGTGGGAGACTCGCCCTCCCAAAGTGTCTGCTCTGGGACCTCGTGCCTTGTTTAAAGGGGCCCATCTATCGTGGGGTGGGAGACTCGCCCTTCCAAAGTGTCCGCTCTGGG